TTTCTAACTAAACATGTATATAAAGAAACCCTTTTTCACTTTTAAGGTAAATGAAATGTTAGAGATATATGATGATGATGATAAAAGAGATAAAGTTGACTTAATGACTCCAGTTTCTAACTAAACTTGTATATACAGAAGCCCTTTTTCACTTATTGCCATCACCCAAATTATATCAAGAACGATTGGAGTATATATTATACAAAAATGCTTCACTACTTATAATCTTCGTATTCTCAAAGTATAGCCATTTAAAAAAAATTGGAGCATTTGGAGCTATCGGAGGACTGATGGATTCCTATGTAAATGAAAGTTTAAATAGGGTTTAGATGAAAACTCAAGAAAATTCTAAGAGTTAAATTTGCGAGATTTGGGATGAACCCTCAAGTAACTTCTCCAGGTTTTAGGGCATGTCAAAAATAAACCTAAATAGATAATTTGGGATATAATACTAACCAATTAATAATGAGGAGATTGGTTGAGATGAACTCTCTGAAAGTAGAAGCTGGAATTGCTGAGATTGACTCCATAAATCTGAAAGCCTCGCAAGCTAGAAAAGATCGACCAGTTCTTTATCATCATTTAAAAGTAATATGAAGTACTCTAATGGAGTTACGTAACTCACACTGGAAGGCACCTGGAGAACCAAGGAAGGTAAAGGATATTAAAAAATGACATACTGTTAATAAGGAGATTGAGTGGAGTAATAGAGAACTAGTAAACTCACCCGTGCGATGCACGGTTTGAGAATTTTTTTTTCAAATTTATGTATGCTTAGTAATTCAAATCACACTATCAATTGATGACATTATCCATCTTCATGTAATATTGATATACATAAAATCATTAAACGAAATACACTTATAATATTATTGTCAAAATGAGAGTACTAAGCATGACTTAAAAGATCAAAAACATCCAACAAATACGTTGAAATCATAACATTGTAAATATGCATTTAATGTAAATCTAAACATTGTTGAACACTTCTCTGAATACAACATTCTGAGTCTTGTCAGTGGTTCCTCCATCTTCATCAACAATTAGAATTTTCAAACGACAACGATTGGTAACCCTTGATACTGCAACATACAACTGTCCGTGGGTAAATACCGGTTTTTTTAACAACAACCCAACACGGGACAAAGATTGACATTGACTTTTATTTATAGTCATAACATATTATCTGCTAACATTTGAAGTTGTTAATAGGAATGCTTAGGAATCAACACATTTTAGCTCGCACTAACTTATGTCAAAATCATTTCTTTTAGTAAAATGGTTTGCTAGTAATTCACCTTGCAATGCGCAAATGATTTTGACAGTTTTTTCATTTTAAAGGTTTACATGTACAAAAATTAATTGAAGCTAAATTATTTATAATTACTAAGTAATAAGGTGACTATAAATTTACACAAATTGCATTTTTAGACGAATTGTCTCTCTAAATAGGTAAAATAAAGGAGTAAAATATGTGAAAGTATGTTATGTCATTCTTGAACCATATTTGAATCTAAATTTATGGGAAAATGTTCAAATCGGTGCTTCTACTATTTCTAATATCCAAGTATGATCTGGTCTGGTTTGTTTAAGTTTGGTTTGGTCTGAGACTGAAATAAGTCTAAGTATAAACATCTAAAGTAATATGGTGACTATGTATTTATGAGAATTACGTTCTTTCCACGAATTGCCTGGGTAAATTGGCAAATCAGGGGGTGTGCAAATATGTGAAAGTGTGTTATGACATTACTAAACAATACTCAAATATAAGCATCATTTATATTATTGATATCTAGTAGAACACCCGTGCGATGCACGGTTGGTGAAATCTCATCTATAAAATTGTAGTGAAATTAGAAATAAAATCGAATTTGTCATTTCAATTGAATAGTTTAGAATTATATTATGATACAATTTGACATAAAATGAAATATACTCCCTCCGTTTCATAGAAAGGTACTCATTTTCATTTTAAAAACAATTGACAATCCTAAATGACATATTATTCACTAAGTATTAAAAATAATACATTTATAATATCACAGTTATCAACACTAATCTCATTATAACATAAACCCATTAAAATTATTTCTTGATATAAACTCAAACTGTCTTATTCAATTATTGTTTTAATAACCGTGTCTTTTTGCCATATGAAACTTTTAACGGGACAATGGTAGTACTTAATACAATTTTCCAATGATTGCGGAGTAGTACTCAATTTTTTTATAGCCCCACAAAAATAGTAACACAAAGTATAAAAATAATTTGAAAACCTCTTCATTATTGGCTTTCTAGCCAAATCGCCAATCTTTTAACAAATAAATCATTCCAAAAAACATCGTGTTGAGGATGAAATGTTGAATCCAAACTACCCTATTATATTTCATTCAAAAACATTATGAAACACTTCAATTCTTTATACACAAATTCTTGATATCACTGTCTGTGCCACTTCTCTGTCGTTGTTTGCAATGTATATTTTGTATGGTCAGAGATTGGTTACTTTAAACACAACTGCATAAAGTTAATCACGACTAAAACATGTTTTTTCACAACTGCATAAAGTTAATCACGACTAAAACATGTTTTTTCAAAACACAACTGATTGTTTTAATTTTTATTTATAGTCATGTTTGGGTATTATCGCTTCCGAAATTGGAATGATAAGCTAACATATGAAATTGTTTAAGAATGTTTGGGAATTGACAGTTTCTGTCTCACACAAATGATTTTGTCAAAGAATTTTCCCTTTTCAAAAATAATTTAATTGAAGGTAAACTATTTTAGCAAATAAGTAATAGGGATATACGAATTGCATTGTTTTTAACGAATTGCCGGGGTAAACAGGCAATTCAGGGGGTGCAAATATGTGGAAATGGGTAACCATATTTGGCAACTTGTGAGCAGGGGCCATTGCCTAACCAAGTTCCAGGGACCTTGCATTTTAACAGGCTTTTCATTATTAGTCCATTGCCGTTAGAAAGTTTGAGGCCCAATAAAATGCATCCCTCACCACTCGGCTCCTCATTAGTCCATTCAGTAGGAGAATCAAACCCTTCATTCATGTGGCTGACTAAGACATTCTCTACAACCCACTACAAAGAAAATCGAAATTCCCTAACTTGAAGCCGACGAAAGCAAGTGACTCAGTGGAATTCCTCTACTCATTGTCCGCCAATGGTCCGCCAAAACCCAGAACCTCCAAGGATGAAGACATTGATGGTCCGCAGTAGGTCACCCACTAATGTCGTATAGATCAATTTACATGGCAACGGTAAGATCACAACCCCCCACTATACGGTAGCGAAATCACCCGCCGTAGTGAGCCTACAGATCAGGTAGATCTGTTGATATTGTTGATTACGTTTTCTATTCAGTCGCTTCAATTTTTTAAAATTTTTTGTCAATGAACTTTATATTCAATTATATTGTATCTACATAAAACATACATCTTCAAAGAAGTTTTTATTTGAAAAGATTTAATAACACACAAAAAGTCTATTGGTGAGAGTCATGTATTTGCGTTTATCAATATTATTTGTACTGTACCGTCGATGCACTGGACTGTTGTCTTTAAATTTTCGTTGATGCACTGTACCGTTGTCCTTAAGTTTTCGTTCTTTGCTCAACTTTCCTACTCTATATGCCCGCATGGATTGCACTCCACTTTTATGGTCCATGAAATTTTACTTCATGTAATTATTTTATTTCTTTATCTTTTTCACTATTTCTCCTGTACTTTCTTGATGTTGTTGTTTTTTAGCAGAAATCCTGTAGCAAAAAACATTTTGCTTTTAGATATTTAATACATTTTCGTAAATTATTTTTATTTTAGCATTTTTTATAAATATTTTTTATTTCATAAATATTTTGGAATACTTTCTATTTTTTCTTAATTTTATTAATAAGATATATTTTAAATGTTCTTTTTCTATTTTTCTAATGTATTTTTTTTGTGGTTCGATAAATTCAACCAATGCAGTCACTTCAATTAGATTTTGTCAATTCTAACATATTGAACTGATTCAAAAATATATTACGTAGTACTTTTTAATATATTTTTATTCTTAACAAATACGGAGTAAGTACTACGTAGTATATAAAAACATTGCCTTTTTCCCTTTGGGTATTGAAATCCGAATTTTAATGGTTTCAATTGCTTAAAGTTATATATAGTGAATGACGGCCAAATTCACCTAAACTTTAGAACTTTAATAAAATTCATTAAGAAACAATAGAGGGATTTAAAGATTCCGGCCCAAAGTCTAATATACAAAGGGAAAATGGAAATTAATAATCCAACCTTTTAGCGGTCTTCTTTCAATAATCCCACCTTTTGATTATTCATGAATAATCCGACCTTTGCACCTCATCTTCATTCATTGGTCCCTGGTCGGTTAATGACCTACTATTCCAAGTTATTTTCTTATCTTTCCAAAATATTATCTTTGTGAAAGATGAGATTTATGGTATAATGATTTGCAAAGATAAGAAAATAGCTTGGAATAGCAGGTCATCAACCGGTCAGAGACCAGTGAATGAAGATGAGGTGCAAATGTTGGATTATTCATGAATAATCAAAAGGTGGGATTATTGAAAGAAGACCGCTAAAAGGTTGGATTATTAGTTTCCATTTTCCCATATACAAAACGGATCCAAGGTACATAGATCCAAATGAAGAGGAAGACTCAACCGTCCCAAGAAATAAATGAAAGATTCAAACAGTGCAGCATCCCACATACGGAGTAATGGAGTATATGGGTGTTTGGATCTGATTCTCAAAACTGATTCTGCTCCTTCATGGAGCAGAAGCAGAAGCTGGAGTGTTTGAGTGAAATTCCAGAAGCACTTCTGGATCTCTAATTTACTCTCAGAATCAGTTTTTTTTAGAAGCTGGGGGTACCAGCTTCTGAAAACTGATTCTGATTCTGCTTCTACTTTTAAAAAAGAATCAGAATCAGTTCCAAACTCCAGAATATTCTAAGTTCCAGCCGCACATTCAGCCGGCGTCTTTGAAGAGAGAAACTCTGCATAGATCGTTGGGAGTGAGTTGAGTGTGAAAGAGAGAGACCCTGAGGCGTGGAGACCGGATTTAGCCAAGACATGTGCAACGGTGCAGTGTTTGGTTCTCTTCGACGATGGTGGAAGTTGATGTTGTGGGTGATTGTGTTGCGGTTGATTCTAGCCATAGTCTGCCGGAGGTAGTCAGGTACGGTTCCAATCCCTATAATCAATTTAAAACTAATCTGAGAGTCGGTCTGATCTTGGAATGAATTATAACCCATTTTCGTGAAAATTTTTATGGAGGTGTCGATTGCTTTAAATTCAGCGTGGAGTGGATCTACTGCGGAGATCGTAAGAGTAGTGAATTGACAAAACCGACCATCGTTGCCTCCCAGAATGCCCCCCCTCCTGCTGTTGGACCATGGAAGGACGCATCTGTGTTAAGGATTAAGGGGAAAGGTGAGGGCAGTCTCCATTGATTTTTTTCTCTGATTTGTGTGCTTTGTGTAAAAGTGGCATAAATCCTTCCATATGTAGGTCAGTCAGTTCGCAGTGAAGGTCTCCTATAACGGCCTATGGCGTCTCCGGCGGTGAGAGCGTTTCCAACCCAATCCTCAAAATACCTTCGCCCCTCGCTCGTGTTGAAACATGCTGTAGGGCCAGACACGGAGAAACCCAAACATTCAAGTTCTTAAATTGCTTGTTGATGTTTCTGCGATGTGGTAAATACATTTATCTTTTCCAATTTCCATTTAATTTTAAAAACATATGCCCCATCCTTTTGGAATTTATATGTAAGGATATTTTAAAAGATTACAATTGAGCTATCCATTACTTTCCAAATGAGCTTATCATTTAGTTTGGAAGTTTAACCAAGATGAATCATCTACCCGAAATACATGTATACACCAGGACTCTAGGAAGTATATACTACGTATATGCTTTTCTTGATAGCAACTTATGCCAAACTGTATCTGGAATTGTTTTTGTATAACAATTTACACTTTTTAAACATTATATAGATGAAACACTTTATGCACATGCACACACAATCAAATATACAATGATTTACCTATATTAGGATATATATGCACAGATGTACTACAGAGTATTTGAAGAATCTCATCTTCAATAGTTTAATATAGGCTCTGTGGATCTTCTTGTGTTTTGCTCAGCATCATTTACTCATTGTCATTTAGGATAGTCTTCATCATTCAACTCCGGAGTCTGAAAGAAAACCATCAACTGTCCTTCAATTTGGAAGGATATTATCAAAATATTCCTACACACAAATACATGATTACAGAGTAGAAAATATCCTACAAAAGTGTTCTATGTAATAGAGTATTATATTTTGACAGGTAGATCCAGAGTTCTCTCACGGAGTAGAATTTCTATGGAGTAGAAATTCAGCTTGATGTGTATTGGTGGGAAGAGTCATGCCCGGAGGCTGCGTTTATAGGTGAAACTATGCTATATGTGCAATTACCATGGTCAGTTAATTTTCAACCAATAGAACTTACTTTTGACTATTCACACCATGAACCAATAGAAAATAAGATAAACAGTGGCCACCGTTTGTTTTAGCCAATGGCATCACCTTAAGATATAGAAATATCTTATTGAACAGTGTCACCACATCTCTAACCAATAGAAATACCACTTTTATTTCACAAATGAGCTGATCCGGCCGTCCTTTATTTCTGTGAACAGTGTTCAAATCTTTTCTTAACCAATCATTTTAATGACAGCTGTTGCACCATTTTTTTGACCAATAGAAATTGAACATCTTTATTTTAACATGTGCACTAACTCATCAACTTGGGACCATGATATTTTAATTTCTCGAGTGAGCAGAATCCTTAGAGTTTTTTTCCTAATTAATGCTAAGAAAAGAATTATTTACCAAATTAATGTTGAGTTAGAAATATTTACGAAAGTACTGCCCAATTAAACTATGGTTAAGAGAGTGGAACGAATTGGAAGTGGAACGTAGGAATTACGCAGGAGAGATGGATTAGTGGGGCCAAGTCAAAAAACAATTCTCCTTTTCTTTAACCTGTAATAAATTTTATATTTTTGCTCCAAAGTTTATAAAAATATATCAATTTTCATAACTTTTTATGATCTTTCATATGACACCAATATCATATATAAAATTTAAAAAGAAAAACTGAAATAAATGGACAAACTGTAACAAAGCCCGTTCAATCAATCTAATTCTAAACCAATATTTTTTACAAAAATCTCAATGAATGGTTGATAGAGTTTTTCAGACACAACATTTTTCATAAATAAATCAAAGTGCTAAAATTAAGATACAATGATTATTTTCGCATTTTATAAAAGGTTATTTTTTAAAAAAATATTTACATCTTTGAATAGTTTTGAATCACTTGTGGTGACGTAACATGGTTACAAATACGTTAAAGATGACGAGAATATTTGGAAGATGTAAATGTTTGCAAAATATAATGTTATAACTACTTTTCATCACTTCAAATGAAATAAAATAGATGAAAGATGTAAACATAATTATGAGATCTTAATTTTGCAGTTCATTCTATTTAAGAAAATATCTGAGTCTAGAAAACTATTCTAATTGGGTCTTTTGATTTTTATAAACTAAAAATTTGTTTAGAATTAAATTTGTTGACCGGTTGAGTCTAGCTTTCATGTTATACGTAGGGATGACAATGGGGCGGATCAATGACGATTTTACATATCGAGCCCGTTTGGTGATTCCTTTTTTAGGCTTATCAGGCTTATCAACCAATTTTTTCACCAAACACGTAACTTTTGATTTCGTGCTTTGAATTTTGTAATAAGCAAAAAAACTAAGGTTGAAGTTACTTTTATGGTTGTATTGACTGAAGTGAATGTAGAGGATCATTTTAGCTATTTTCCATTTAATTTTTTTTTTAATTTATTAATAAAAAATATTTTTTTTTTCGTGAATCAGCCAATACAACCACTTCAGTCATAACTTCATAAATTTCAGCAGAATCAGCCAATTCACCCAATTTTAGTGTTACCAAACGGGCTCATAATCGTACCCGCCCTATTGGGTAATTCGCCCACCCCGTAGACCGTAACCGCCTCATTATCCAACAGATAATTTTTACTCAAATCACAACCGCTCCAATGGGTAACGAATATAACCATGAGTAATTACTTTATTAAATGAGTCATTGATCATTTAATACGGAGTATAAATGATCGGAGCGGGTAACACGTATAACCGCAGCTATTCGCCGCCTCGTACTCGTTACTCGGTCGATGCGGTTTTATCTATTTTGATAGGAGCGGTTCGGTGTGGGTGTCTAACGGATCAGTCACAATTGTAATCCCTAGTTATATGTCTTCAAATTTTGTAAACTTTATATATGACATATTGGTGTCATATGAAAGGTAATACAAAATTATGAAATTTGATGTAGATTTTATAAAATTTGGAATAAAACACAAAAGTTATAGCAATTTAGAGAAAATGGAGATTTTTTAACATGATCCACACTTTCTCTCTCCTACGTGTGGCATCCTACCGTCCTACGCATGACGGTCATTTCCTTTGGCTCCTGTCCTTTACGTATTATAAAGGTAAGCTAACTCTAGTTTAACCCAACAGCATTTTCGTATATACTTTTAACTGAACCATAATTTGATAAATAATTGTTTTTCAGCATTAATTAGGAAAAAAACTCGAATCCTTAATACGTACAACAGTTAGAAGCGCAATTATCTTCAAGAGTTCATTTGAATGCCTTCCCGATTGAAGGTTTAGTTGAAATTTGGTATGAGTAAACTAGACTTAATGAATAAGATGCTCAAAAAATTTCATCAAAAAATTCCACCGTGAACCACTCCAAATGGCGACGGCCGGACAAAGCCTCCTAAATAAGGGTTTATTTGACCTTTTTTGGTTAGTACATGGGCCTATTTGCACTTTTTCCCATGTATATATAGATATAGATAGATGTTGTTGTTCCAGTATAAATTGCGATTGGGCATTGATAAATTGTATTGTTGGGCATTCACTCTCTCGCATTGCGCATAAAAGACTCTAGTATTTGAATACATATGACCAATATTCAACCACTATGTGCTACCGAGCCGAAAGAGAAAACAAGAAATTTATTTATTTCATTTGAACGAGTTGTTCATAGGGATTGAAGAACAATGAATATGTATGCATGTAAGTAAAGCTCTAAAAGATATGTGAAACAACATATAAAGACGTTAGTTTCCTAATGTAATTGTTGAAATAACATATAGATAAAAATGTTTTGGAATGTGTAGGTAATTGTTGTGAAGATTGGAAAAGGTATTTTTCCATAAATACTTTACTTTTATATAACTCTCCCACGGTACCCCCGTGTGCTTTAACATTTTTGTATTTGATATCACCATCTAAATGTCTACTACATGACTTATTTTTGTTATTATATATTCTGGAAGTTGTGCATGAGTAATCCTAACAATAACTATAATCACACGAGAAAAGAAACTTAATTATATATTAAAATACCAAACAAATCAAGTGTTACAATTACCTGATATCTCAAAATCCACCACTTATCTTCTAACAAACCCCATCCAATAAACTCAAGAAGCGGCCTACGATTAGATCTGAGACGGTCACCTTCAAAAAAGCAACGCGAATCGCTAACCACCGAGTGAGCAACATAGAGTTCTTTCTGACATTCAAGGTCACCGTACTCTTTACCACTTCACTAGCTAGACTCATAATAACCAAAATATGCCCTCAGTCCCTGACCAAGCATATAAAAGTTCACTCAAAATTAAGTGAACCTTTTCACCGAACATGCGGGAAGTACGAAGCAATCAATAGCTGAAGAGATCTCAATACTTCTGATCATAGCTAAACTAGACAACTCAAGATAAACAGTCTATCGAAATAAAAACAAAACTCTAAATAAAACCAAAGCAAACCTGAGTCACTCGTTCTCTCCATGGCATCAGCATGGGAGGAGGTCGGATCATCAACACTTCATCTTCTTCCTCTAAGACCAAGAGAATGAAGGCCAAAACAGATTGATACCACAAGTGTAGCGGCCGCCGTTGCAGGCGCCGTCGCGGTTGCAAGTCTTGCTCCAAGCACAAGGAAGACTGCTATGGAGAGTTTCTCCTGGTCACTGTTGTACCTTAAGTATTGATCGATAATCCAAAACCAAGAAACAAGCTTCCCCATCCCCATGACAAGGGAAAAGCTGGGCGCACGCTTATGCAGCGGAATAACTAAACCCTATGTAAGCAAGAACTCTAAACATGATAAAAAAAAACATGATAAAAAGTTAGAAACGGCTATATATTTTTAATATTGAAAAACTTGGAAAATTATAAATATATTAATCCAATACAGAGTAGTAATAAGAAATTATATTTTCCCAAATAAATCTTAACACTATGTGTTACTGTGTTAGAGACTTAGAGTAGCTCGATAAGAAAAGAAAAAAAATGATTTATATACACAAAGTGGTGTAAAGTGTAAATGAAGTGACATCTGAACAAAGAAGAGTTTTGTTCATACCCACCCTTTACACCCACCAATGTGAGAAGACTATTTCTTGTGAACATTTTCAGACAAAACAAGACATGTTTTGTCCGTGAACGGAATTCACTGATAGAAAAATAGTTTTTTCACATTGGTGAGTATAAGAGTGATCGAGTATAAGTAACAAAGTTGCCAAACAAATTAGTGAAAGTAGAAGGAGAATATGTAATACTCCGTACGAATTAAGGGGGGTGTCCCCAACCTAGATTTTAAAGGATTTTGAAGATTTTTAATTCCATAAATTTTAATAGAATTCCACAGTTTGTAATTAAATAGGAATAAATATTACATATTCACCCCTTATTTAATTAAATAATATAATTAATTGTTCCTAGTTCCCTTTCATAACCAAAGCCATTTTGTTGGTGGCGGGTCAGTTCGATGACGACAACGGGGAACTTCGGTGATGGAGGCGGACTGGTCACAGGCATATCGGTAGCGACAATCTAGATGAAAATTCTGACGACCAGCAGTGGCAATCCGCATTTAAAAGTCTATGGATGTTTTGAATGTCAATAAACTTATCCATGAATTTAAAAGTCTATTGACTTTTTTAAAAGTTCATGAATTAAAAAACAAAAAATCTATAGGTACCCCAAAATGTACCCCATTTTGTACCCACCCCTGAATTGCCTGTGTACACAGACAATTCGTTTGAAAGAGGGCATAACTTTCTGTCCAAATGTCTGTGTACACAGACAGTGTACAGATTGAGGTACAAATTGGGGTACCCCAACAGGACTCATTAAAAAATGTACACAACGATCCATATTGAATACAGCCCTTAGGGAGTGTTTGAAACTGCTTTTGCTTAAAAAAAGTACTTTTGAAGATGTAAGGAAAAAATGATTAACAATAAAAGTTGATAGTGTTTGAGAAAAAAGTGATTTTGAAAAGTAAAAGTTGACAGTGTTTGGAAAAATAAGTGTTTTTTGTGTAATAGAAAAGGGAAAAACACTTTTCACACGCAAGCCGAGAAAAAGTAAAAATGGGTAGTATTTAGTAAATAAGTGCTTTTTTAAGCCAAAAGGTAATATTGGAACTACATATAAATGAATAGTTGATTGGAACATCAACATATTTTGATTGAGTGACACATGCTTCAAGATATGTTAAATTTGAGAGTTTAATATGAAACTAGTCTTTTACTCATACGTTGCACGGGATAACAACCTAATAAATTACGTACAAAGCTGTCAAGTAGAACAAAGGATTCTGCAAGTGTGTATATATTTTCCCATTTGCAATAATATTATGAAATACACATTCTTGAGTTTGAGCAAGTGTCAACCTTTTTATCATCTCAACAAAATCAAATAAAGAAAAGATGTGGAGGCATATCGTGACTCTCAATGAATCTTTTTCTCAAAGTTATCAACTGAACTTATCAACGTGACTCTGAATGAATCTTTTTCTCAAAGTTATCAACTGAACTTATCAACATGATTTCTCCTCGTAACTGATGCAAGCAAAAAAGAATTTAAGCCTCTTTTGAAATACATTTTAATAGGCATGAAATACAAAAATAACCAACAAAAAACCTATTGAGTATACAAACTACCCAAAAACCAATTGAGTATACAAAGTATCCTTTTTCTGGCCTGAAGTTTTAATAACCCAATCTATTACAGGTTACCGAAATTTCTAGAACACCATTGTGTGAGTATGATATTATGTTAGAGTTACATGAAACTTCTCTATTCTCTAATGATTTCAACTGATTGGCGAAAAAACTCTATCTAATCATATAAAGAAAAGATGTGGAGCCTTATGATGACTCGGTATGAATCCTTTGTTCAAAATTATCAACTAATCTCATCAGTACAACTTCTCCTCGGAATTGGTGCAATAAAAAAGTCTTCTAGTCTCTTCAAGAATACATCTTAATAGGCATGAAGTACAGAAGAACCAACAAAAAACCTATCAAGTATACAAAGTACCCTCAAGATCTTATATGAAACAAACTACAAAATACAAAATTTTGGATTTGATTTGCAATGGATTTAGTGAATTTTCTCTTCTGAATGAACACTCCGCTACAATTACCGTTTAAAGTCTTAGAGCTTGTTTGGTAACACTGAAATCGGATGAATCGGCTAATACTGGTGAATTTTTTTAAATTATGGCTAAAGTGGTTGTATCAACTAATTCTACTGATTTATGAAAAAAATTATATTTAAAATAAATTTTATTAATAACATTAAGAACAAATTATATGAAAAGTAGCTAAAATGGGCATCTACAACTTCAGCCAATAGAATCACAAAAGTAACTTCAACCTTACTTTTTTTTATTATTACTCAATTCGACGCGCGAAATCAAAAGTTACGTGATTGGTTGAAAAACAAAGTCACCAAACGGGTTCTTTTCTAAGGATAGAAGATATCAAGGAAAAAGAACTATACCCAAAAGAAAGAAATGAGTATGTATTAAAGTATAAAAAATGCAATTTCACCTCTTCTAATCTTAAAAAATTGCATTTAGTTAACAATGTTTAGCGTGTTACATTAAAAAAAACTGAAATTGTTAAAAGGAAAAACTCCATTTTTAACTAAACATGAATATAAACTAAACTAAATTGTAAAACCATGTATATTCACTCCTCAAGTTAAGCCAAAAGGTAATATTGGAACTTTTGTAAATAAATGATTTTTTAAGCCAAAAGGTAAATAAGTGTTTTTTTAATTGGTAGATTGAGTCACAAAAATGAAACGGAATTGGACAAAATTGTCCAATAGTAAAAAACCCAAAAAGGCGCGCTAAGCGTAAGTTGAGGCGCGCCAAAAAGGTCTTTTCCATCAGGTCCGAAGACGACCTCCTTCGCTGCCACACAGAGGAGTTTCAGTCAGCTCTCGGAGTCTCACAGTCCCGGTCGATAGAATTAGTCGAAGGTCCTTCCTTCATGGGGAGCTCATCACTGTAAGTAAGTTTTCGCTCGGATTCGTTTCCTTACAAAAAGGGGGCGGGGGATGGAGGAAAGTGAGGGCGAGAGATGGGAAAGGTGAATGAACTCTATTTTTATATCACTTCAGAACTTCCCCGAAAGATGAACTCAAAGCAAACTTCGATCCGTGTGGTGGGGCAGCGCTCGATTACTTCAACTTTCCGCTTACACCATTCTGCTCGGTATGCGTATTAGGTTTTCTTTTTTTGAAACGCGAATTGCATTTTGGGTTTCATAATTTCAAGCATTTTCATACTTTTAGGTCAAATGATAGAAAAAAAGATGTCGAAATTAAATCTCCCAGTGAAAAGCGTCCAACTATCTCTCTCTCCGACTTCCTCAACAAAAAATTGGACAAAGCTTCTGTTTTACCTGGTTCAGTTAAGGTAATTTTTCATAAATCTTGAACTGAAACTCTATCTATTCTGGTTTACCAAGCTTTACTTGAACTCAGTAAAATTTACCACAGAAGGTATAGACAGTTGGAGTGTAGGACAAAATATCACGGTAGCAGATTCTTTACCACATGACAGGAGGCCTAGCTTATCTAGTTCTGTATAAATTTTAATTCGATTTACATGTGTAATAAACGTGATTTCAGGATTTGAGAATTTCCCTGTCTTTGAGATGTTTAATTCATTTTAAGAAGTCCTACTGGTTGCACAAAATGAATTATCCATGCTCATTATCACTTTTTGGATTATGGGTATTTCATTTTAAGGAAAAAGGTGCACATGTTCTTAATGTTTGTTTCTCTAGGTGGACTGGCCCTGAATGTGTTTCTAGGTGCATATATACCCATTATATTTCCCTTGTTATGCATATTGGGCCTCTTTAGCTGTTAAAACAAAATTGTAAAATAAAGAAACAATTAAAGTAATACATTGTGTTAGAGACTTTAATGTATATAATTAGTCATATTGTTATCGGTTATAATAGTATTATGACAGCAGATTCCCTATTTTTAGATGTTAGTATGCACAAAATTCAATTTAATGCTCTCCAAATAGAAAACCTGCCTAAAAATCAAAGAGTTGCAAGTTATAATGATGAGTTTTTCTCACTGGTTGTATGGGATATATGGAACTTGACAAACTCTATTACCGTTATTTGGTAGTTTTCAAACCCTCTATTTCTCTCTCTTTCAATGTTCTTTATTTACGGAGTAACATTGAAGCTTTGGTTGACATATGCATTACAGAGTAATGGATTTTTGAAAGAGGAAAATTCATGTGAACGCATTTTTGTTGACTAGAAGTCATGTAAAATAGTTGCAGTTGTTACGTATGGTACAAAGTTTATATAGTCAACTGAAGGACATGGGGGTGTAATATTTTTGACAGAGGAAGGACAAGCAGTTTCTGTCTCCAGAGGGAAGCAATGGCGACACTAAATTATTTAATAAAGATGAAAAAAATGGGGAGAAAGGTGTAGGTCAACATTGTTCTCTTGATATTATGTTTGAAAAGCTTAAGCAAGCTGATAAAAGAGAAGAACATGGTGATAGGGATCGTAGTTGTGATGAAATAATGACTTCCTGCTCGGAAGATATGGAAAGATCAATGAAAAGGAGAAAGGTGTTTGCAGGTTAGTAGATTTTCCCCATTGACATAATCTACTTTAGAATTTTATGTCTTTGTGATATTACTCAGTTTATTTTTGGTTTTCCATTGTCCATTCTATGGTGCTTTAATTACTAGTGTTCTGCGTCTTCTCTGTTTAGCTATCTTTAGACGAGCCTTGTTAGTCGCACATTTCCATCATCTTAACTTCCTAGCTAAAACTATTTTGAAAACAAAGACATCTATTGAAACAGGAAATTATGAAATGGTCTACACCATTTCATTATGCAATCCCGACTCATTTAATTATTAATTTAATTTGCTAAATTAATTGTCAGTAATTATAGTTAGCAATTAAATTTGATATGTGCAGAAACTAAATAAAGAATTATTTTTAAACAAACTACTAATTTCAAAATTTATCGATAAATATTAATCATTCATTCATCATCATCATTACCCCGGTGCCGCAAAGGCTCCCACCTTCGGTGTACGCAGATCTTACCCCTGTACTAAAGCACAAAGAGACTGTTTCCGGATGACCCATAGTGAAATCGCGTCGAAAGTTCCATGGACGGACTACTGCTTCATAACAAAGAAGTGCAGATAGTTTAGGGAGCCATTTTGCTTTATTCCATCATATTCCCAAGCCAAAAAATAGCGAGTCTTTGGCTCCATTGCAAATGATGAAAATATCGATAAATATTAATGAACATAATTAAAAAGATAAGTCATTTCAGCATTGAATAATTTACATCAGGCCGCTGCAAATGCTAATACTTAAGCCTGCTCAAACGTTCACTAGTGTGTGTACTAATGTAATCCACATGAAGAACTTTGTGCATATCAAATTGGTCGGAGGGAAAATCTTACTAGTTTCATTTCTCCATATAATAGTGTCTTGATTCATTAAAAGTACTTGTCTTATTTATAATATACCTGTTGGAATGAAGCTTGAAAATGGTGAATATTCAGTACCTAGTGCCAAGGTCATTCCAACTGGAGCTAACCACTGTAACAATGAAAGAAATATTTTTGCAATAAAAATGTTTTTAATTAGACTTAAATTTTATGCTCTAGTGTGGTCTGTATCATTGGTAGCTTATATGCCTTAATTTTCCCATTATAAGGTAATGGTCATAAGCAATCTGTTGGAAAGGTAGTGGTAGTCTTAGGAGAGGATTCAAAGAGCAAGCAAAAAAGAAATGGCAAGAGGCATGAAATTCCTGAGAAATCAACTACCTACTTCAATCATTGTAAGTCACATGCATCTCTTACAGTTCATCTTCTGAAAAAGTTCTCCTGCATGTTTTCTATTCTAAGCCATGGTTTCAGCATCTAAGGTAAAGCTTGACTAATTTGTTTTCAGATGCAAATGGAGGTGGCTGGTGGGACTGTGAGAAGGAAGGTGTTGACAATGAAGAAGTTGGATGCAATGGGACATGGGAAGTCTATCACATACCTCATTAGGGTGATGTGATTGGCTGATTGCCATTGATTTACACCTTTTTTTTATTTAGAAAAACATATGATATCTGTTGCAACACAAATTGACTAATCTGGAGTCATTATGAGGACAAGAGGGTTGTTGCCTTGTTGTTGTCAAAGTTCTGCTTTCCATCAAACTTTTTTTTCTTAATTCAGTTGCTGTTGTAAATTGTTAAATACTTTGACGGGTTGCCAAATGATCTATGGGTATGTTTGGCACAACTAGCTGAAAAGATACTTTTGTGAGCTTTTTAGTAACTGTTAGCTTTTAGTGACTGAAAAGATCTTAAAAAGAAAAGGTGATAACTGTTTGGTAAAAAGCTGACTGTTTGATTTAGTTCGGTTTGATATACAAGCTGTTAGGACTAATTAATACTAAAAGTCACGAGCTTTTCTCAGATGCTACACCCGGTAGCATCTCAAAAAAGATCTTTTAATTTTTGAAAAGCTCTTAAAAAATGTCATGCCAAACATACAACTAGAGTCTTTTAAGATCTTTTTAAAGAAAAGAGAAGCTAGAAGGCAGAGGCTTTTGTGTGCCAAACATGGCCTATATTTGGGGCGTGGTGTAAACTTGAAAATTTAATTTTTTTGCAACTTTCGGACAGACTTTACTTGTTGATGGAGAGGGAAACAAAGAGCTTGATTTAAAATAGAAATGAGAACCTTTAAATAAAACATCCAAAAAAATACAAGAGAACCCTAACATGGGACATAGTAATATATAGCGCGTCCAAGTTTTTGGCACTTGAAATAATATGTTGTAGTGCACTAGTGCGTCATTATGGGTGCCAGACTTCAAAGTGGGAACAAAATTTATATTTGTACACTCTTTGTGTACACACATACAATTTATCCTTTTTAGGCTTTTGTGAGAAATCAAGAGATGAGGGCTAAGGGCTGGAAGCCTGGAAGACTGGAACTGGCATCACTCAGTTAGTGCCTTCTTTAACAGTTTTGAGCCATCAGACACAGAGTTGAGGGCTAGGGGATGGGTTATACAGACAATCTTAGACCCAGTAAATTTCTCTATCCATGATGTCATCTTTTTTAAGGGAAACATTGCCATATATATTAATTAAACCAATAACTCATTAGCCAAATGGCTTACAATATAAACTGACACAATTGTAAAAGAATCATTTCAGGCTAATGCATGAGCCGCTTGATTCATAGACCGCCTACACCAAATAATACTCCAACCTGTATTTTTCCCAAGCAAGTATTAGATATCCTCCAGCACTGCCCCTACATACGAGCTTCCAGGATCCCCTTGAATTCCTGTCGTGACCATACTAGCATCCGTCTATCACCATCCCACCCCATCCAATATCTTTTGCTCATCAAGCTTCCCGAACTCCTAAGGCTTCCATTTCTAAAGGTGTCCAACTAGCCTCTAAAGACTGACCTTGTGCTCGTAAAAACTGCCTGTCGTGATCTATTGCTATCCACCCCTACATGCGCCGACCACACCCACCACTATCTATAGCCGCTGCTATGTTGACTTTTACCCAATTCTCCCTGGGATTCTTCCATATTTCCCCACCACGACCAGCAGCTGTCCGCTGCAACTTGCTACTTGAATTCTGGGCTGCTTGCCATCCATCCAACGCTGCTACCGCGGTTCTCTTAACCCCCTCCGGTGAGAAATTTTCTTCCTTCCAAACAACACCATTTCTTAGTTTTCAAATGCTCCAAAGAAACATAATAAACCTGCAACGCTCTTCCATTGGCAGCATCTTAAAGACTGCCTCAAGCCATCCTTGATCCTTCCAAAGTTAATTCACTTGCTGCACTAGGAATTCCAACCCTCTTCCAAACAGCTTGCGTTTCAGGATCCCTAAATAAATGGAGACCATTTATATTAGCCAACTTACAAATCGGACACTCAGTCGGAACCTAAACATGCCTCCTCCTCAGATACATGCAACAACTTGCCAAAAGAAATGTTTGACCTTCGACGGAGGCAAGTACTTCCAGACAGCATTCCCGTCTACCCAACTAGAAACTTGAACTTCACCGATTAGCCTTCTATAGCAACTACGCACTGAATAATTTCCCTTCAGCTTACCACACCACCAAAAAAGTCTGAGACTCTGCGGGATACTCAAAATTTTAAAACTCTCCCTTTCCGAAAAATGGATTTTACCCATAGTCACATGGTTCGCGGTACGGTTCGATACGGGAACGAGGAACGGGAATACGGTTCGCTAGATCTAGCGTATCCGATTCGGAGGGGGTAGGTTCATTTCGGTACGCGTTTGGTACGATGTACCATATGTTCGGTACGTTGTACCTAATTTTTTTGGTATTATAATAAAAATACAAAACTGAATTATAGAATACAGATTTTAGCATTGAACAAAAACGGATTTCATAACATAAACTCATAACATTAATCAAAAGCAAAAACATTAATATTCAAGAAACATTTCAAGCAAAACAGAAAAACAGTACTACAATCATTGATTTAAAGTTCAAACAAGAAAAGTACATGACTAATCAACTCGAGGTCTCTTTCCTTTCCCCTTGTCCACGTCTTCATCCTCTAGATTCTCCCAAGCCATTTCTTCGAGTCTTGAACTTGTGCCTTCTATGTATGTGCTCTCGGGATTGATGTCCCAATATTTGTGTGGACCGGCTTTATATGATTCTGAAAACCGTGACTGGAGTCGAATGTTGGAGTGAATGAAAACCAATTTGTCGGCTCTTTTGCAATTCAACCGGTTTCTCTTCACACTATGAATGTAGGAATATGTACTCCAATTTCTTTCGGCCGAAGAGCTACTAATCGGTTGTGAAAGCACCTTCTTTGCTACTTCGGCTAATTCCGGTGTTTCAGCTCCATAGGTTGACCACCAATCAATTGCATCCATTGTCACGGAATCCGCTTGTGTTGCCACCATTGAATAGATCCCCTTCTTCATATGGAATGTAGCAAATTGCTCTCGTAATAGCCTTTCCTCTTCTGGACTTTCTGCAATTCTCTTGAAAGCTTCCATTACACCAAGCACAACCTCTTTATCTTGATTCGGTGCCTTTCTTGCAATACCACCCGGAGCCAATTTTTCAGGATAGAATTTATCGTAAAACCTTGGGTTTAACGCAAACCCCAAACAGTGAAGTGGGATTGTCATCTTCTCCCATCTAGCTACAATTATTTTCTCAATATCCGGGTAATAACAAGAATATACATTATCCACCATGATGTCCTTTATTTCCCCAACATATTATCCATCCTTTCATATATTTCACCCATTTTTGGGCCATCACCATCACAAAATTTTATAAGTAGAAAAACCGGCTTAGTAATTGTCAAAACATTCCTAACATCATCCCAAAAATCATCACTCTTAATAGTTTCAGCAACATTAGTCCCATTAATTCTTGCATTTTCATCTCCACTTCTCACCCATTCCCTCAAAGAATTGCAAAAAATAGTTGAGGCAAGAGCCTCCTTACAATCCATCACCCTTTTTAACAAAATGTAATGAGATGCAAACCGGGTTTTAGCAACCTTTAACAACTCCAACCTTGAGTTTTCACGAAAGATGGCTAAAGCATGGGTATGGTTAATAAAATACTTAACAATTGTCTTGCCTCTTCTATACGTATTTTGTAACCATTGGAGTTCTTTTGCCATGTCTTTGAAAATTAAATTCAAAGTATGCACGCAACAAGGAGACCAAAAATATGTTTATGTACCTTCTCGATCTCTCTCCAGGCCGCTTTACAATTAGCCGCATTATCCGTGACTACTTGCAGCACATTACTTGGTCCAACCGTGTCAATAGCTCCAAGAAGAAACTTAGAAATCTCAACTCCAGATTTCTCAACTCCGGAAAAATCTTCCGCATACATGAACATAGCACCACGGGAGTTCACCGCTAAAACATTGATAAGTGGCCTATGCTTCACGTTAGACCACCCATCCGAGACAATTGACACTCCTTGTGTGTACCACGTGTCTTTCACTTGGGTTAGGTCTTTCTCAACATCCCTAACACATTCATCGAGCAATACCGTTCTTGCCTTTTCACTAGAAGGGGGCTTGTATCCTTCCGGTGCCTTTTTTTTATAGCATTAACCATTTCAATAAACTGAGGGTTGCGTAAGACATTGAATGGAATGCCATTTGCACACAAACTTCTAACAATCTTCAAATCAACCGCGTTTCTCTCTAATAGCCCGAAAGATTCTTCCAAGCGCTTCTTCGAGGATACATTTCGGGACAATAGAGAACTCTTCAAGGATTTTGCAACCTCGCCAGCTTCCGCCTCCTTTACTTTGTTCCAAAGCCTTTCATATTGCTGCCTTTCATACTTTCGTATCGCGTTTAGGATTTTACCCTATTAATATTCCAGCTTTTCCCATCTTCCTTTACAAGAGCTGCCACATTCATGTCAAGGACCCCTCTGGCCTAGCAGATTGTACTCTCCCCTAACCCGTACCTAGGAGCCAAGCGTCCTTCCAAACGGAAATCTCTCTGCTATTTCAAATTCTTCAACGCACACTATCCTTGATAGCGCTTTGTGCTGCCATAATACTCCACCATTTAAATGACGGGTTACTACCCAAATGTGCCTCAACAAATGACCCGTTTGGGTAATGTTTTGCCTTGATCACCCAACTTGCTAGTGATTGGGGATTTGTCAACAACTTCCATCCTTGTTTTCCCAACATAACCAAATTGAATTCCTCTAAACAACGGAAGGCAAGTCCGCCCTTTGATTTCGTTACACACATGAACAACCAACTTTTCCATCTCAAACCATTTTTTTTAATCAAAGTCATCACCCCACCACCAATAATTGTTCATGATTCTTTCAATCTCACAACATAACTCATCTGGTAACATAGGGCCACAAATCCCTCCTTCCCCTGTCTCTTTCGTTTTAGAAAATGTAGAGTCTCGAAAGCAACAATAGATCTACCTGGCACAAATGCGCTTTATTTTTCAGCTATTAATCCATCAAGAATACCTTTCTTTCTATTTGCAAGGACTTTGGCGAAAATTTTATACACCACATTACATGATGTCACTATGTTTTATTCTTCAAAGCTTAATACTAGGTACATTTTTGTTCACGGAAACAAATTCTAGAATATAACCACATAAAGGATCTTATTGAGGAACAAGTGACTACTTCCTCTCAGTCCTGATAATATATACCCTTTACATGCTTTTGTCAACACCCCAGGTGTCTAACCATGGAGCATGAATGTTCACGTTGTAATGAAAAACTCTCTCTCTCTGAACACAGATCAATTTGAGGACTTCTTTTTTGAAGAAAATCATAAATGACAAAAGACTAAGAAGGATTATTTTCTGGTCTATGACTAACAAGTGGGGATTAAGTAGTAAAACGAAAAGCAAAAATCCTCCAAAGTCCCCCAACAAACATCCCCTTAAGCTAATATTTGAGAAAATACTACCATCCCTATCATTTTCCCATTCTTATTGGTGCATTTACTGCATTAAGCACACTTGGAGTGTTTTGGAAACAGTGGAGCAGCTGGACAAGAAGCTGTGGTTTCCGCTGAAAGGTACATGTTTCTTTTCTTTCACTTCATAATAATGTATTACAGAGTATACGTCCATCTTGAGGGTATGAAGGCCCTAGTCTATATCTTGATCAAAAGTTTTTTTTGTAGATCATAAGAATAAAGGATTAGTGAAATGTTATAATCACCCATTATGTTATTCTGCAATAATTATAAAATCTCAAATGTATAACAAGATATAACAAGATATATATGTAACTATCAGAACCCTCCATCCAAACAAACCGCTACGTATCGTTTGGTATGCATAAAGGAATAAAGTGGGAAAAAGCACCTGGAGAATAAAAAGAAGGATGCTGAATTCCGTAGTTTCGTTTATTGGAATAAAATTAATTGTAATAATCAGGGAAGAAATGAGTAGTGTTAAATATGCCCTTTGTGAATACACTTCTAAATATTGTCCATTTTTTGTGAAACTGTCCAATCATTAAGGAAACTGCATGGGGTTGATAACATGCCAAGGATTTGATATTCGTTGAGTGAGACTGAGAGTTTTCCTATCTACCAACATGAAAATAAGCTCATGGAAGGAATTAAGAGGGAAAGGAAGAAACACAGCTCCCTACCAAACTAACTAGTCATTGATGATTGATCTGGTATTCTGGTTAGAATATCGTTTCCCACATTTTCTTATTATCATTGGTAAAGTTATAATGCAGTGGTGCCGGTATTCTATCACCTGAACAAGAGTTTTGCTTCTATTTCCATTCATAGTTCAAGTCACATTGGTTTCTTTGGCCATTTGTCACAGGACAACAAATTTCTCTCTAATTATGGATACTAAACATTGTCATGTATCATAATTTAGTTCACAATGACATTCCACTCATTGGGCTTGGTTAGTTACTGATTTATGAAGGCAGATAACAACATTTTATTTTGGTTTAGAATAACATTTACCCAATAATAATTAATAATAAGTGATACAAAAAGTGAAAGTGGATCAAGTGTGGATAAGATCTAACTGCTTTTGTAATATATTTGCTAAAATAAGAAGAAAAAATTATACGTAGTATTAAATCTCTTTTTACAAAACATCAAATGGAAAACAAAATAATGAGAAGTAAATTCATGGAGTGTCCCGCCATAGACACAATAGTACTGCTAAGCTATACCACTAATGCTCAAATGAACTTTGTTGCATTGTTCTATCTTTTTTGGAAGTTAAACACCTTGATCGCATACGCAAAGGTGACAGCAAACATAGTAGGGAATGCAATCATCACTGCTGCAATCACTCCCAAGAAACTATGTTTAAACCCAAAGTTAGAATCCAAGAAATTCTTCACAGGCAAGTTGTCTGCATCAACCACTATATCCTCGAGGTCTCCAAATTGGGATGCAATCAATCCATATAAAGTCCACGAAACTGGGCATGCCCAGAAGTACCATCTCCACCAGATAGGCATCCTCTGCATATCAGCCAATTAATTAAATGAAATCACATTCAGTTTTGTCATGAGGTGCAAATAAATAATCGACATGAAAAATGAAGGGTTATTCGAACACAAATTACCCTAAAAAAAGTATCAACTCCTGTTTAGAGAAAACAAAGTTTTATTTCCATTAAGGTAATAACTTTTGTTAGAATGTGTGGCGAACTCACCGGTCTTGGAACTATGAATCCTGAGAAGAGATTCCAAACTCCATAAAAGAAAGCAGAGACAATGGATGCCACATTTTGGTTGGGAGTGATGGCCACAGACATCATCCCATAGTACGTGAAGTATAACAATGTGAAAAACATCATGAACAAGTACCAGAAGAATTTTCCCGCATTCCATTCAAACCCGATCATTGCATAAACAACCAAGCCATATACAGATGATTGCATAAATACATATGGGATTTCAATAGCCACCTGCAAACAAAAAGTTTTGAGTGGTTGTCGGGTGATGCAATATCTTAGGTTGAATGGTAAAGTTTTAAATAATTGATGTTCTATACTAAAAGCTCAATTAAGATAAAGTGAAACGGGAAATGGGAAACGACAGATAATGCATATTTTTAAAATAGGATACGAAACGTGGGAAAAAATATCTATAAGTAAATTTTCCTTATATGTGTACACATGTTTTTTTCATATAAACTTTGCTGCATAGAACATAAGATAAAAGTAGTCTGCATATTCAGATGTAGACTTTGTTCACATATTAGTACATAGTTGACAGTATAAAATATATTTCTAGCAAAGCGAAGCGCTATACAATGTTACAAAACTATCATTCTCTAGATAAACCCCATAAGAAATATATAAAGCAGTTCCAAAAAAAGTCCATCCAGAAATCCCATAAAACTAATTCCCATCAAGAAATTAAATGAAAAAGAGATATTACCCGAAATAGGACTAAAAAGGTTTGAAAATTCCAAAATAGGACTGCCATGTTTTTATTCCCAAAATAGGACTAATTACTGTCATGTTTTGGCAGTACCAGACTTCTAACATGACAGTATTTTCCAAACATGACAGTAATTAATCCTATTTTGGGAATAAAAAACTTGGGAGTCCTATTTTGGAATTTTCAAACTGTTTTAGTCCTATTTCGGGAACTTTCCCAATGAAAAATAGCGAAACCCAACATTTTGAAGAGCTAAGTTATTATGGAAAATAGGTTTCCCAATTTGTATGTATACATATGACATGGAAAGTTGAAAACGAGATCTGAAGTTTCAGAAATTCGAATTTTGCGTAGTTTATATGCTCCTTAGAGGTCAACCTAGAATGAGTAACTAAGATCTTTAATGAGTTATGAATGTTTATATTTATGTATCTGGCTAACGTGGAATATCTTAGTAAAAACAATATAGAGCTATATATTTCTACTCACTTGTGCAAAGGCATATGGTAGGGCAGAAAACATTCCAGCAGCCTTCTCCCTATAGAAGACAGTACGTTCGACTGATACCACAGGTTGGACTGATGAAGAGTTTTGCACACCGAGGAATAACACCGCAGAATACATGGATCCCATGGCATTCATCAGATCTTGTCTCCGTTTAGTTTTGGTACCAAGGTTCCAAAATATGGTTCCGAATGTAACAGCTATAAGTGTTGTGAAGAGAAACCTCACTGCAGTGTAAGATGTGTTGCGCCAATACGACAAGTGTTGCTTCCAAAGGCAAGCCATACATTGGCTCCAGAAACTTTGGGAGAACTGAGTAGGGAAGTATAAGTCTTTGCTCCCGGGGAGAGGTGTACTTAGCTCTAAAATCAATGATTTATTGCTCTTAAATAGGTCTGAGTTCTTGTACACCTCAGCAAAATCGACACCAAGTGCTACTTCTTGAGATGAACTAGTCACTTCCAGCATCCAAGTTGCCGGATTGTAGCCACCCTTTATTTTTGAAACTCCATTCATAGACTACATTGACGAGCGCCACGAATTAGGCCCTTAACGTACTACAAACATGAGGAAATTAGATATAATTCTTTTTTTCTTTTTCGAATCTTACCTCAAAGTATTTGATCAAATGAGATGAATGGTGTCCCAATGGTCCAACATAAATCTCTTGTCCGCCTCGTTTCATTAAGAATAACTGCAAGATGACATTGGAAAGTAAGTGCATATTGAATATATACTTCTTTTGTTTTTTGTCAATTGCTCTTTATCCTTTTCTCAAAAGTTTTTCAAGGGTTTTCCTATATATTACTGAAATGGAACTCAAACAAGAATAATGCTACATAACCGCTACCCGAAAATAGCACCATAATTACTGCAATGTAAGATTGGACATCAATGAGGTCACCACAGTTAGTGTGTATATTAAAATTATATTATTACTTGTTAGTTAGTGTGTATTGAAATTATATTATCGACCAATATTTTTATTATCCATAAATACATAAATACTCATACTTTTTGTTTCTCTTTCATATTTTTTTGCTTTACATTTTCTTTTCCCTACTATTTATATTTGATATACCAATAATTTTTCCTTAAAACTAATTAATGAAAATTTCACTGGAGCAGATAATAAAATGGGAAAATTACCTCGTCAAAAGCTTCAAAAATGTCAATGCTAGGTTGATGGATGGTGCAAACAACTGTTCTTCCAGTGTCAACGGTGTTCCTCACAGTTCTCATCACAATGGCAGCTGCCCTAGCATCAAGTCCTGAAGTTGGCTCATCCATGAAGATAATAGATGGGTTTGCCACTAACTCAACTGCAATTGTGAGTCTTTTGCGTTGCTCCGTTGAGAGACCATTAACTCCAGGAAGCCCAACAAGGGCAGATTTCAATGGGACTAGCTCAACTAATTCCATAACTTCATCCACAAACATCTACAATATGCAAGACCAACTATTATTTATTTTTTAGTTTTCTGTAACATATATTAGCAAAACATACTATGACCAACTCGAGGTTAGATGTAATTACTGGTTGAACCTTGTATTTTCAATAGTCAATATGTTATCTTTGAGCTTTAATTATTGTCAAATACGATGAAGATTGTCTGAAATTTCCAGTCTTAAAGGTCAAAACGCTTCTCCTTAGTCATCTAAGCCACTCGTGATGCCTAATATTCTTCCATCTTGTGGAAGAAATGTCTTCGATAGTAGAAGAGATATAGGAATAATGAGCATGTTTTAAGAGAATGCTTTAGATAATTTTATTAGATTTGAAATTCAAATGGAGTCAATCTTAATATTACAAAAGGGTATGTTGTAAGAATAATTAGAAGCTCACAGAATACCTAAATGAACACAACATTGAACTAACAATGTTAACCTAACATGAAATGGATAACACTAATTTTTTATCTATTATGCTAAAAGAGGGAGTTTATAATGAGAACTTAGTTACTAACCATTCTGGTTTTAGAATCAACGCTATCTGGTAAACGTAGCCATGCTGAGTAGACCAGGGACTCATAAACAGTAACAAAAGGAGAGTGTATGTCATTCTGCTCACAATACCCTGAGATACGGGAAAATGTTTCTTGTTTCTTTTGATAACCAGAAATTTTTATGTCACCTTCTATATATCCACCAGTTTTTCTTCCTGCCAACACATCCATCAAGGTTGTTTTTCCAGCCCCACTAACACCCATCAAAGCTGTAAGAACACCAGGCCTAAAGGCTCCACTTACACCCTTCAACAATACCAATTTATCCTCAGAAGTACCTTGCTCTTTCATTTCCTGGATTTCATTTTAAAAACAACCCCTTGAATAATCTTGTATGAGATAGAAAAAGTAGGACTTAAAAAAAATATCAATTTCTTAATACCCGTGGCATGTCAACAGAGTATACAACATTGTCAAACGTCAACGAATATGGTTCAAATGGAAGGACCATTCCTTTTTTCTTAGTCTCTGTAACTCCATTAGCAGCGGTTTGGTCCAAAGAGTTTGATGAGTATACAATACTCGTCTCTCCATTTTCATTATCATCGGATACATTGGCTTGAGGTTTACCATATGCTGCAAGTATTATTGTTTATTTGCATTTGAAAATTAAAGAATAGTACTTTTAAGCCAAATGACTTGTAGGAATCAGGTACTCACGATTAAGATACTGGAGCCCCAACATGTAACATATGTTGAAAACGATTGTGTATCCAAGAAGTGCTCCCAGACCGATCCAATACCATTTTGCTTCAGCGAAAAATCCTCTGGATTCCACGACAACATCTCCAAGTATTCCTGTGCTAGACGTTGCGTTCTGTAGAAATGAAAAGTTAGTTAGTATCATGTAGACAATAAAAATATTGTATGTAAGTGTTCATATAAGATGTTTACTAGATCTATATCTAATATAGTATATGAGTAGGTGAACCTCACTTTTAAGAATTTGTTGGGCTGATCTAGACCTGATTTGTTATGATATCAGAGTTAATTAAGCTCTAACTAGCAATTAAACTAATTAAGGTGTAAACATCGGCTAAATATAAAGATGTAAACTCACTTAGAAGCAATTTAACTACTCTTAATCTTCCTTTTAGCATTTAATCTTTTAGCTAGTTCAACACAAAGTGTTATTAGTTCACCACTCACTACTTTATTTTGTGATGCTACTCTAACAAATTGTAATGTCATGAGGTGCATGAATACAAACAAGATCACTTACTTTTCTCCAGCTATGCCCCTTAAATTCATTCACAAGGATTGCATTCTGTGAATACATTAATGGGGAAGACCAGTACATCCAAATCCACCATTTCTTCACATCCTCTACAACAAAGAAACATAAGAACTTGTCAATGTACTTAGACTATGATTGACAAATATTTCATGCAAGTACTCTAAGTCTGAAACATGTGGATATATACCTCGTGCAAGGATAAAACCTCCTAGAGCAACTTGGAGAAGAACTGCAAAGGATCCAAATGTCATTGCAACTCCCATAGTTCTAGCAACGGATGAAATAAATCGGAACAATCCTGAAGCCATCTGGTTTACCATCACTAGTAACAAGAATTGTTTGAACAATCTGTAGAAAACATCAACAAAAATTATTTCCATTGTTGTAGTGTGTGATATACTATATGCTTACCAAATATGTGTCTTATATATATGTTAATTCTCATATATTGACGAGTCTTTTTGGGTGAGTTAGACTCAATTTAAAATAGTATGAAGTGTGATTTGTTTGGCTCATTTGTCCACCTTTCAAGTTATTGTGATGGTGAGACATGTTAAAGTTGGACGAGGACGTGTAAAGTATTCTATAACAGATCATTAACATCTCTTGAGTATCGTTTGGGGTGAGGTAGACTCAACTCAATGCCTCGAACAAGACTAAGTTATGAAAGTTATACCTGCCGACGTTAGGATCAAATCCGATGACATAATAAGTGAGAAACACCCAGACACTGACTTCTATTAACGTAATGGGAACTTTAAGAATCCAGGAAGGGAGAGCATATGCCCATGGAGGAAAAAATAGGAGGTCCCTCTGCTTGTAGAACACAGGTAACTTGAAAATCGTCATGGGAGTCTCAGACATGCCATTAAACATAATCATAATCACACCAAAGAATAGGGCACCACTATATATCCCTCCATCAGTCTCATTGTCTTTGCTCATCTTAGTACGGAAAAACATGGTCATTGTAATCAAAGCCATCACCATCAGCTGGGTTGAATCAAAAGAGACATGAATGAACTATATAGGAAAAAATGTGAATGGAAATGTGGCTTAAAAGGATTAAAAGGATCAATGTACATACCTGGAAGAATTTGAAGTTATAAGCGAATGAATTTCTCTTCATGAGCAAAAACTCTCTCTGTGTGCATACTTTTAGGAGTTGTAGCTTTCCTATGCCATACATTTGAGTCGTCAAGGCGGCCGGATGGCTTTTGCTCTTGTCGAATGGGACTGACAGTTCCTCTGCCACTTCCCTTCCGACATTGAAAGATTGATATGCCTCTGCAAATTCCTTTGATGTAATGAACCTGTAAGGTTCATCTCTGCGCATCCAATATTGGTGTTGATCCTTTTTTGATGTGACCTACAAATGATCAAATTCACATTTCATAAGAACACTTTTTTGTAAAGATGAAGTATAACACTTGTTAATACCATCAGTATACAACTTAAAAACAATTGAGCGGTTCAACCCAATAACATAACGGGAAAATTGTATAACAAAAGTGCCTTGTACTAAAAAAATACTACCTCATTTCAAAAACAATCTCACACTTTCCTTATTTGAATGTCCAAAATAAATATCTCACAAACATCTTATTTCCATAAAAAGAATTTTCATCAACAAATGTCACAACTGCCCCTTAAAAATAGTATTAATTAAAAATACAAAACAAAACTTTATCCTGCGCAAATATGTGTGACGTTCAACTGGAAAGTTTAAGGGAAAGTGGAGTATAATTCTTTAAAAATACATAAAAAAAACTTTGTCATCTCGTAAAGTTTGATAACGAAACTACCCTGATTAATAGGCTTTCTCTAATTCTTCGTCATGTTATTAAATAATTTTATATTTTGAGAAGATTTTTAGTACATATTATAACAATTCTAATAATAAGTTTAAATTATTTTAAACTCTCATATTAGTCTAAAAATATAAAAGGACATTAGTCTAAAAATATAAAAGGATAAATATAAATATTCGTACTAGATCTATGTTACCGAATATAATTTTTTTTATAGTGGTTTCACAGTTCGAGATAGACTAGATACAAAATAGTCCATATTATAAAAAACAAAAAAATATATTGTAGGGAGCCAACCAATTTGTATCATATTTGCAAGGATTAAAAATACATTTTCTTAATAAAATCAGATAATTCGTCAAAGTTTCAAAGATGTCAAAGTGTTAATTGACAGATCTATTACTTTTTTAGAAATGGAAATAATATACTTATATAAAGTAATCTCAATCTTTTTGACACAAAGTTTAAGAAAGTTGGATAAATCTCCTCAATGATACTAATATGGGCATTATATACGAGTATAAAAGTTTTTCAAAAAAAGAAAATTAGTAAATTACTACCTGAGACATCAAATTATACCAATACAAATTACTAGTATAATTTACTTATCTATAATATTTGTCAAATACTACCTCCGTCCCATTTATATTGGGACGGAAGAGGGTGATACGGTTATTAAGAAAAGTGGGTTTGTGGTTGATATTAATTGATAAAGTAAGAATAAAGTAAGAATGATTTAGAGCCACACAAACTTTGACAGATATGGTATGAAACAATTTAAGTGGAACTTCCTGAAAAGGTAAAACGAGACAATATAAATGGGACGGAGGGAGTACTCCGTATGATCTATATTACTCCGTACTTCATTAAATAGTCCAACAATAATAGTCTATGATGATTTAGGATGTTTTTACTTGACCGTAATTCATCCCAGACCAGATCAGACAATATCAGACCAGTTCAGATCAGACCAGAACAAACCAGTTCAGATCAAACCAGATCAGACTTGGATAGTTATAAAAATACAAAGAGACTGGACAATACTAGTCAGATCAGACGAGACCAGACCAGATCACTAAAAATGTACGTGGAAATGTGGAATTAGGATCACTCACCTCTTGCAAGAAATCAGCAACGCCTTTCCTGTCAGGGCACTGGAACCCCATGGATTCAAAGAAATCGATCACAGTTTCGCGAGGGCCGTTGTAAACAACGTAGCCATCGGACAACAGGATGATATCGTCGAACAGGTTATAGGTCTCAGGGGCCGGCTGGAGCAGAGAAATGACGGTGGTGCCCTTGAGAATGTGGACGTATTGCTTGAGCGAGTTCACGATGGAGTAGGTCGTGGAGCTGTCCAGTCCGGTGGATATTTCGTCCATGAAGAGAGCCTTTGCCGGCCCGACGATCATTTCTCCGGTCGTCACTCGCTTCTTCTGTCCGCCGGATATCCCTCTTAGCATTTCGTCTCCCACCATCGTATCTGCACATGTGTCCAGTCCCAGAATCTGCCATTACAAACAGATAAAGTCAAACTACATTAGTCCATGTATTTGCTTTCATTTTTCTCTCATCGATCTGCACAAATTATTAGTAGTTTTTGTTTTCTTGTTCATCAATCCAAATGCTTACCTTGAGAATGTAATCGGTGACAACATTGGCTTCTTGCCCTTCTGTTGCTGCTGCCTGCAATTTAATTGATTTAGAAGTTAGGATAGAAAGAGCAAAGCTAATCGATTGGGAAAGTTCTCTTTTAAAACTATATGGCAGACTGGCAGTATTAGTGCTGGCAATATGTTTACGGTACTTATTCATATCGTGTTGTATAATATATTGGGTTGATATAGCAATAATATACTATTGAGTTTCTATATTACTGTGTTGTTAATTTTATATTCCCTCAGACACTGCGGTCTGTTCCCCTCGTGTAGGGTTCAGCGGTTTTAAGTAAGGAGTTGTCTACAATAGCCTTTTTGTTTTCATCAATGAGAAGGCCGGTCATCTTGGAGTCTGGGTGTGGTGTTTACTCCTCCTATAAGTTTGTCCCAAAAGTTTTCGATCAAAGTTTTCAGGTTAGTTTTCATCACGCTGGAGTTTCATTGCCTGTTTTTCATCATCTTGAATCAGTCATGATCTCTGTGGCATTGGTTTTCCACTGGCTTGCGATCATTTTACTATGGTTTTTAGTTCCAGTTGATTGGTTTGTAGCCTCCTTGGCATTTGGGAAGTTTTCAGATGAGGACTACAGTGGAAGGAGAAGGCTAGGAAGGGATCTTAGGATTGCTAGTGAGAAAAACAGAGGTTCTTAGTGATGGATGAGGACGGGTAGAAGTGTCGTATATGACGGTTTAGATTGTGATCACGTGAAGTCGAAAACAAGGTGAAAGCGGGAGTCGTGAGAAAGCCCTGCCTGGATTTCTAGCCAGTAGTTTAACCGTCTAAATTAATTATCATATGTTCGTGATACTTTTTGGGCGAGTGATACTTTTCTAACAGAAGACACTAGTTATAGACTTATAGACTTATAGTGTGTCACTGACATGCATGGCTGTTGGGGTCTGATCAAAGGCTTTTCTAATAAAAGTTAATATTGGTTAGTTTCAGGCAAACCAGTGTGGAGCTTTTAGTGGTTGGCTAGTGTTGACCCATTGTTACACTGTTTTTGTTTGTTTTGCTTGTGTTCTTTGTGGATAGCAGTTAACTTGGTCTGTATGTCTTGTGGAGGTTTCATACAATTAGTAGCATGAGGACTCCTAAAGTAAAAGCAAGCTTGCGTGTTAGGTGATTAGCTACTCGAGTTGCTCCTTCGATCGGGCGATGGTATCAATGCCTAATCGTATGACGTTTGCTTGATGAGATTGTGGGATACTTGTTCTGTAATCATATCATAGAAGGCTTTTTCATTGAAACAAAAAAGTGGCAAATACTTTTAGTAAAAAGTATAAATTCTTGCCTTCATGAAGACATCCAGATCAGGATCTGGCTTGATGTTAGCAGCCTTTTCTCTCCTAGACAACTCTGCTAACATTTCTGGAGATAGATAGATTAAAGTTGTAGATTAAAAGAATGTTAAGTTTTCAAAATACATTAATGTATGATAAGTGATAAGCAAACAAAACCCCATCAGTTTGAGGCAGGCGGGGAAGATAGACGAACCATAACGGGAACCAACGCCCTGACACCTGGCAGAGAATTCCAACGTTTCTCTAACGGTCATTTCGCCGATATGGAGATCATGTTGGCTAATATAAGAAGCTGTTCTCTGTGGCACAAACTCGTTTAGCTCATGGCCATTGTACGTCATCTTCCCGCTCACCCGCAGGTCTTTATCGAGCTTTCCGGCCATTGCCAGCAGCAGCGTCGTCTTTCCGGAGCCCGGCGGCCCCAGCAGCAACGTCATCCTGCGTGTAGCATTAAAAGATTCTTAATTAATAAGCCAAATTCAGGTAATTAGTTTAATAACAGTGGGCTGGCCAGGCTTGTGTAGTCCAACTAACCTGCTGGGCTTCACGATCCCACTGACGTCATTGAGGATAGTGAATTTCCTCTTTTTGGTTTTGATTATGTGAAGTGCGTTCAGCAAATCCTTTTACATAGTCAAGGAGCAAAAAACACATACTTAGTTTTAGTTACAACAGTGATCAGCAGATGAGGTATATATATTAGATATACATATACACGTAGTATATTTAAATTTTAATCCATACATGCATTTAATTATTAATTATATAAAGGATTATAAATGTAAGATGTCCTAACAAATTAAAAATTATACCACTCTTTTATACGCACTAGTACTTTCTACTTTCTAGTATTGATTTATATACAATTGGTGGATAGAATCCATTAATCGACATTGTATTTATTTACATTTTAAATATAGAGTGATTACAAAAAGACGTTTTGTAAACCCAATATTTTTTAATGATGGGGATTAGAATTTCTCATCGATAAGATTAGTGTACGTTTATGATGACCTCAACCATTAGTATAAGATGAAACACAATAAACTTCTGGTCTTCTGTTAATGTTTGTATTGAATTTTACATCTACTTCACTTTTAGTTTTAAGAAGAGCTTTTCATGAAATATTTCATGAAACTTAAAAAAAAGATTATATCGTCAGTATTTAATTTCTAAATTTATGAATGGTTGTGATTTACTCTATTTTTCACCATTCGAACATTTTTCAAGTAATCAACTTAACTCCCTTCTAATCTCTAAATTTATATAGTAAATCTTTATGATTTCTCAAGTCAACTTTGTCATTTAATTATTGATAACTTTATTTTAAAATGAATGATAATGATAACTCATACTCCATTCTAAACTCGTGTTTCTTAAAATTTCCAATGATCATTGGAGATTAAAGAAGAATATGAGTTTAAGATAGAGCAAAGGGTCAATTGAGTATACCGACTTGTATGAGGAGGGGTAAAGATTACACTATATTGCATTTGATATTTTTAAGTACACAAATTTGGGATTTTAGTGTTAATTAAGTACACTTGTTAGATTAACACGTTAATACGACTGAGCTGACTAACGGCATGTTGAGTAAGAAGTGGTAATGGACCAAGGTTATGACGCCGACCTTCACGAAGTCGGCCAAAAAGGGAAAATCGGCCTTTGGAGGTCGACCTGCGGGGGGCGTCGGCCGGTAGGGATGCATTGACCAAGGAGAAGTCGACCTACGGGAGACTGATGTCGACCAAGGGGAAGTCGATTAAGTGGTTGAGGGCTGACGTCGATCTTCAAGAAGTCGATCTATCAGCATTCTTTTAGCTAACTCTACCATATTAACGTGTGAATCTAACGGTTGTACTCATTAACACTAAAAACCCGAATCTGTGTATTTAAAAAGATCAAATGCAATATAATATACTCTTGTTCCACCTCATACAAGTTGATGTACTCAATTGACTCTTACATCGTTTAAGATAGTAAGATACATATACATAGATTGAAGTACACATAATTAAGTTGACCTATATAAACAGTTACCTCGATGAAGTTAGTAGTGAAGTTGATGAAAGTAGGCAAAGCTCTACTTCCCACATATGCATCCGCCTCTATATTCAGATTCTCAAACCTTACTTCTATGGTTGGCATATCAATCCCAACTCTGCAAGAATCATAATCCAATTTTTAATGAAAAATAATGTACAAATTCAGGGCAGATATAGGAGGGGCCGGATGGAGCTTTCAGCCTCTCAGAGGAAAAAATCTAATGTACAAATGTAGGTATACATATCTTGATCAATAAAAGATACTCCCTCCGTCCCAATATAAAAGGCACATTTGCGTTTCTAGACATTTTAAGGGTGAACACTGTTTGAACACTGTTTGATACTGTTTGGCACTGTTTGGACACTGTTTGGCACTGTTTGGCACTGTTTTGCACTATTGTGTTTGCCAAAAAGGGAAATGTGCCTTTTATATTGGGACGTACCGAAAAGGAAAGTGTGTCTTTTATATTGGGACGGAGGGACTATATTATTATTTTAAGCTTTGGCGCTTGCAAAGTAAAACTTTCTGTTTTCTTAATACTCTTTCTGTCATATAAAGGTTCGCAAATTGATTTTTCTTGATCAAACAATGACTTTGACTAATGATATCAAAATTTCATAGAAGTATAAAATTTATAATTATATACAAATACTCCGTATAATATTTAAAGTTATTGTCTAAAGTTTGTCAATCAAGAAAAATCTCTATGACAAAACCTTTTCGGTAAATAAATTTATTTAGTACTACTAAATAAATTTCTGGTTTCACCCCTGCCATTTTTCAATATAATATGAAAAGCATTGGCAAAAAAAGAGAGACTTATATAAGGGAATTGCAGAACAATCATTCCTGTTGTACTCACTCTTATATTCATCATGTCTATGAAAGTTTTTTTTGTTTGTGAATCCGATTCACAAACAAAATATGTCTTATTTTGTTTTTGCAAAATTTGCAAAATATGTCTTATTTTGCATTAGTATTTATTACATATCAAAATAAGTCTTATTTTGTTTGTGCAAAATATGCCTGGTAGAACATGCATTAGTCTTTATTACCTATCAATTCTATCCTTGAGCTTGATCAAGAACCTCTCATTGTCTTCATCAGCAACCTTGACGAGCCTATCAAGCAAGGCCTGCCTTTCCTGGTATCCGAGGTTGTTGATATCTACCTCGGAAACCGGCGCGGTCTCGGGCCCGAAGAGCAGGCCGCGCCTGAGGCGGTCGAACGTCGGGAGTTTCTCCAGCGCTGCCCATTTGAGAGCCTCTTCATCGTCCTCGTCGCGCGATGATCTCGAGAACACTTCAGCTCCAGTGTCCCTCCATATGGAATTGCTGCTCCCTCTCAGGCTGTCCCGAAGACTACTGCTACCTCGTATGCTGCTACCTCGCAATATCCCCAGATCCGCCGGCTCCATCCCCCAACCACTCCAGTTTTTTTTGAAGGGTTTGACTTTGTTTGACCGTAATCTTAATCGCCTTCCTCCTAGTACGAATGCAGAAAGAACAGAGAGGAGCAGGGTAAAGAATTCTGTGGGGAAGTGATTTTCTGTTTATTGAGTTCGGGTATAAATACAACAATTAGCTATACAGAGTTTCAGCAGAAAAAACTCCTTCCTGAAAAAGTATTGACAGGGTGGTGGGAGAAGGGGAGAAAAAACTTCGTATTATTCAGAGGCGGCTTCGGAGGATATTCAAAGTACGACTATTCCAACTCATTTTATAAATTTATAAGGTTTTTCTATAAATTTTTAAATATACTCCTACTTTCGATGTTTTCATTTAGACGTTTATAGTCCCACGTCACACCAAATCAGATCAGATCAACTTCTATAATTATAAATTACATAGAGACCAGACATTTACCAGACCTGATCCGATCAGATCAGGAAGTTCAGACCAGACCAGATTAGACTAGAAAATTTCAATCCTAAAGAAAACATCCTTTATTTGAGATCTATTTTTGCAACTTTATATGAGATCTATTAAAAAGTAAGGATGATTGAAGCATTTGCATTCGAGAAATTTCTTTTTGTGAAATTGCAAATTTATTTTGAGACATCTATATAAGGAAAGTATACAATTGTTTTTATGTTGAATTTCATCATGAGTGTGTACTCATAATAGCTTACTCATATTCGGACCAAATTTTTTAATATTCTATTTGAATATAGAAAAAACACTTATTGTTTTATGTAAGAATGACAATAATAATCCAGAGAATGACACTATTTGGTTATTTTTTTAAAAGTGGATTCACTAATATGGTTTTTCCGATTGACATTCTGTCGACAAAGGTGGCTCGAAACAAAAATAAAGAGAGTTTTTTCCACTTTTAGTCCTCCTACTATTATGTCATTGACACTTTTAATACTCGACTTTGATTTTTTCCATTTTTAGTCCCCGACTATTGCGCTAGAGACACTTTTGGTACCCTTCTTTGAAATTTTCCATATTTAGCCCTTCAATTAATGACACTTTTGGTCTTTCAACTATTATTATAGTGTCATTTTTAATCTTCCACTCATTGTGTCTAGATCATAATGGAAGGACTAAAAGTGTCAATTTGACATTAGTCGAGGGACTAAATGTGGAAAACTTTGAAGTTGAGGACTAAAATTGTCTCTAACACAATAGTCGAGGACAAAAAATGGAAAAAATAAAAGTCTAGTACCAAAAGTGTCACTGACATAATAGTCGAGGGACCGAAAGTGGCAAAAACTCAAAATAAAGATGACCCAGAGGTCGCCTTAATGGGGCTCATCTCACCTTTTTTTTTTAAATTTTATGCGCACTTTTAAACATTAGAGTTATTGCATGTTCCTTGTCTTGCTCCGGCGATGTCTAACGGTGTCACGCAACGGGTGACGGTTCCCTCCTATGATAACAAAGTTTAAACACATGACTATGTTAAAAAATGAGCCACGTACACCCCCTATTTAAAAACGTTTCCAACCACAAATACATTTTCCATACTTTTCCCTACTTATGAATATCTACTACGTATACCATACACTATGTGTCACATATATAGTTATTAAAATACCAGGAAAAATATTTTAAATTGATTAAATTTTTTTAAATACTTTTCTTATGCGTTTAAGATGATTTACTGATAATAAAGTAACTTGTCTTTGACGGTATATATGAGTATTAGTAATTAAAAGCTACATACTCTCAACAATAAATTTTTTGAATCACCAAAACCCAAAATTCAAAACAAAATAGATTTATTATATGGAATTAGATGTTAAAATAGAATAATGTTGATTATGTGAACAGTACTAGAGTAGTAAGGAGAGTATTAACTATTAATTGCATAAATCTGAAGGTATGAATGGAATGATAAAGAGTAATAGTTCATTCTAGCTTAAGTGTGGTAAATTGACACCTTCTAGACGTGCTAAATTATTGGAGGAACAAATTATAGTTCTTGCTTCAAAGAAATATCCAATTCCGGTATTTTGTTCAGGTTAAATGGACAAAGCCACTCCTTCTAGATTGTCAATATGATCACGCTTACTGCCCGGCCCGGCCCGGCCCGCTCATTCGCTCCGAACTTTCTTGGTTGACCAGCTCGCCGTTTCGGACTTTCCATTAAGGCGTTGACAAACTAGAAACAGAAGTGAAAAGCACTGGAACTTTTGATTCTAGAAATAATTTCATTTCTCGGTGATGTATTTATTTAGTATTAGTGGATACATATCAAGCAATCAAGCTAGTTAGAGTTTTCACTTAATAGTAAACCCCGATTTCGAATATATGATATATAAAAAACTATACAAAATGAGAGAGGAATTGGATGGTCTGATCTGGTTTGATAAACTAATACAATTGCAATATATGTCTGTTTAATTGTGTGTGCATTTTACAATTGTTAAGTCTGATGTGATCAGATATTCAGATCTTGTATGATATATAGAGGCCGTTTGAAACCACTTTGTTCGGCCTATCAGGCTTATCAGCCAATTTTTTCACCAAACACGTAACTTTTGCTTTCGCGCGCTGAATTGTGTAATAAGAAGAAAAAGTAAGGTTGAAGTCACTTTTCTGGCTGTTTTGGCTGAAGTTACTCTAAATGACCATTTTAGCTATTTTTACATATATTTTTTTCTTTATTTTATTGATGAAATATATTTAATTTTTTTTTTTAAATCAGCAGAATCAGCCAAATCAGCTGATTTTCATACTACCAAACTGGTTTATAGTCTGAGAGTGGATTCAACCCAATTACAAACATTCTAAATAATGTTTAATTTCATCGTGTCAATATTGTACATGAAAAAACCGTTAGAGATATTGAAATCGATTCAAAGAATGTATGTGTACCGGTATATAATGATTTCAAAGAAAATTGTACAGACTAAAATCTTACGTGTTTTCCAAAATACTACTCATATCTTCATTTCCTAATATAATGGCATATGACATGCAATGTATGCATATCATTCGACATTCTCTTTTTCATATTTTGTTTCACAGTCATGAATTGGGAACTCAATCATGTTTGGTCATATTTTGGAAAGGTAGATTCTATGGTACCCATAAGGTACCGTACCTTTGTTTACATGGACCAATCAGAATGTTGCAGTTGAATTATTTAAGTCTAAATTAAAAATGATATACCTATTTGGACCAATCAAGTGAATGATAGGTACAGTACCCCATTTTTTAAATGAGTACCGGAGTTCTCTTACGTAGATATTTTCCCCTGAGATGACACATGTGATACTCTACAAAATTTATGTAAAGTTGCATGCCCCAAGTCTCAAAGTTATTGAAAAAGAGATATGAGACATCATTAAACTTGTGACATAAGAGATTGGACCATATGAGGGTGAAGGTATTGGTGACTCTTACAATTGACATTATGGGCACTGACTGTTTGGGGAATAACGTTGAGTTTTCTTCTTTAAAGAGATGCTTCCTATTTCCTATCATTTGGCTATGAATAGAGATTTGTTTCTGGGTTCAAAGGCATCACGGAACAGAGTGAAATGCTGAAACTCTGAAATTAAAGTTACTGTAATTTGTTTGTCTCATAAGTAAAAAAGTTTTCTAATCCTAAAATATTTCACGTGGTGAGACTAAAACCAAAGAGGAAGATAATCGATCGAGAATATATACTTTAATTTAATGCTAATGAACTAGTATAACTGCCCACTGAAAATCAATCAAGCTTACAAGTACATAATATGATTATCATTTATCATATCATATCATTGGTGACCCTAACAAATTAAAAGGAGGCACAAATAAGAGCTTAAGAGATAAAAAAAGAAAATTACTCTAAATAGGACTAAAAAAGTTTGTGTATTTCATAGTACAAGTAATTATTGTCATGACAATGCTTTCCAAGTTTGAGAGTAATTACTTATATTTGGTGTATAAAAACATGACCTACATACTTTACATTTTTGAAAGGTTTTTAAATACATGCAATGCCACCTTCGAGTCAATAATGTGAAGGAAAAGGCATTAAATGATGCTTCATAGTTTAATTTTACATTATTATATATGCGTACTAGCGTTTACTCGCGCAAAGCGCGAGAGTATTTGTCCAATATTAAAATAATATTCTTTTCTATAAACAATGGTTGCATGTGAAATTATTATGAGATTTTTGTAAATAGTTAATGAAATATCTCAACCAATTATTGTGTGGAAAATATGTGTATGTGAGTTTTAAAGTATGTGATTATGCGATTTGGCTGTATTTTTTTGTTTTAACATATAGAGGTCGTTTGACAACACTGTTTTTCGGCTTATCAGGCTTATCAACCAACTTTTTCACCAAACACGCAAGTTTTGCTTTCACGCGCTGAATTGTGTGATAAGCAGAAAAAGTAAGGTTGGAGTTACTTTCTGGTTGTATTGGCTGAAGTTACTGTAGATGACCATTTTATCTATTTTTATATACTATCGTATAATTTTTTCTTTATTTTATTAACAAAATATATTTAAAAATTAATTTTTCCTTAAATCAGCAGAATCAGCCAATGCAGCCACTTCAGCCAAAACTTTATTAATTTCAGCAGAATCCGCCAAATAAACTGATTTTCATACTACCAAACGGGCTCA